CTAACGACGTATAACTCAGACATGTGCGATGTTCTGCTGAGACGTTACGCACGCCGGTTTATACCGCCGCTTCTTGTGTGGTCGGCCTTTCAAATGCGCCCTTGTTCAGTCTTTGCCTTATCGCGTCTTTGTTTGCTTCTAACTCCGTTATACCTATCTGCAACAAACCTGTATTGGTATCATTAGAAAGCTTTTTGACGTCGGTGACGGTGGTGAACACAGATTGGATCTATCCTGAAAATTAAAATTTGTTGTTTGTTTGTAAAAATCGTCATGTTTTGCTATATTTCCGCAGGAAATCCTATATAACTTTTCTGTCCAAAGACAGAAATCAAATTGGCTTATATTGCCAGAAAGCCCATTCAATGGCGGAGGTGCATGCAAAAGGGCGTTTTTCTAACCCTTCAAATAAAGTATTTATTAACTTTTTAAAATGCATAGTACTCTCAGGCGAAAGTCTAACTATCCAACGTATTTACGGGTATTCTTTATATGGGGACAAGAGCCAGGCTGGCCACTGGCTCAGAAATTTGCCTATGTTCCCGGGCAAGACGATGCGACGGGCCATGCGATGTGAAAATTGCGACGCTGCCGTCCACGTCTGCCGACGGAGGTCGGAAAGATGGGGGAACCGAGGTAGTGCATAGCGGGATAATTCCGACCTCCACCATGATCAAGCTTTTCGTTGCCTTGGTGTTTAGCTTGTGTAACGGCGCGCGACGTTGCTCATGCTATTCGTCATTGGTTCTCCCGAAGATGTTCGATGCCGCCACGGTGTAGCAGAACTGAAACACATTGAGTCCCGACAGGGGCTCAGAGGCTTAATTTGACAGTAAGCAAAAGCATAAACGGTGGTTGATTTCTCCTGGAAGCAGGACGAAATGATGGTGTTGCATGGGAGTGAAGGGTCGCCCCTTAGAGGAGAGGCATTAGCGGCGGAACGGTAGCTGGCGCAGGCAAACCAGTTCGAGTCCCGGCAGGCGCTCAGAGGCGACTTGGCAGTAAGCAAGCGCAAACGGTGGTTGATTTCTCCTGGAAGCAGGACGAAATGATGGTGTTGCATGGGAGTGAAGGGGCGACCCTTAGAGGAGAGGCATTAGCGGCGGAACGGTAGCTGGCGCAGGCAAACCAGTTCGAATCCCGGTTGCGCTCAGAGGCGACTTGGCAGTAAGAGTGAAGGCGACCCTTAACGGTGGTTGATTTCTCCTGGAAGCAGGATCCCGAAATGATGGTGTTGCATGGGAGTGAAGGGGCGACCCTTAGAGGAGAGGCATTAGCGGCGGAATGGTAGCTGGCGCAGGCAAACCAGTTCGAGTCCCGGCAGGCGCTCAGAGGCGACTTGACAGTAAGCAAGCGCAAACGGTGGTTGATTTCTCCTGGAAGCAGGACGAAATGATGGTGTTGCATGGGAGTGAAGGGGCGACCCTTAGAGGAGAGGCATTAGCGGCGGAATGGTAGCTGGCGCAGGCAAACCAGTTCGAGTCCCGGCGAAGCTCAGAGGCGACTTGGCAGTAAGCAAAAGCGCAAACGGTGGTTGATTTCTCCTGGAAGCAGGACGAAATGATGGTGTTGCATGGGAGTGAAGGGGCGACCCTTAGAGGAGAGGCATTAGCGGCGGAACGGTAGCTGGCGCAGGCAAACCAGTTCGAGTCCCGGCAGGCGCTCAGAGGCGACTTGGCAGTAAGCAAGCGCAAACGGTGGTTGATTTCTCCTGGAAGCAGGACGAAATGATGGTGTTGCATGGGAGTGAAGGGGCGACCCTTAGAGGAGAGGCATTAGCGGCGGAACGGTAGCTGGCGCAGGCAAACCAGTTCGAGTCCCGGCAGGCGCTCAGAGGCGACTTGGCAGTAAGCAAGCGCAAACGGTGGTTGATTTCTCCTGGAAGCAGGACGAAATGATGGTGTTGCATGGGAGTGAAGGGTCGACCCTTAGAGGAGAGGCATTAGCGGCGGAACGGTAGCTGGCGCAGGCAAACCAGTTCGAGTCCCGGCAGGTGCTCAGAGGTGATTTGGTGGTAACTGTGCATGATTTGCCGTGTCAAATCTTTGCAATTCCCTAAGGTGTGGCATATGGGAAAGGAGAGGTATATTGCTGTAGTGTCTACAGCTATGTATGCGAGTCACCCAATTGATGGGTAGGCGCAATGGCATTACACGCCAGACGGACATTGACGTTTTCTGACGTTTGTTATGCATGTTGATGTAAATTGTAGTATGTATTGTTCATCACGTGTAGCAGCTCCACTGCCATTGTCAACAGTACCTGAAGAATTCACAGAGATCTGATCTACCACGACGACCTTCCTGCGTAGACTCAACTGCGCCATCACAGCAATCGGACTTTGAAATCAAAGTTGTATCCTTCCAGGTTTAATGTTTCGTATTATATATTTGTGCTGACATGTTTGAATCATCTGTCCATTATGCAATTGTTAGAGTATTGAATGCGTGAGCTATGGTTATCCATCTGGGTATATGACTGTGATGCACAAATGCTTCGTCATGATCATGTTCGTCTTACAAATGGGGAATGCAAAGTTAACACTGTCTCGCTCTAAGCTAACACTAACCACAAACCGATGTAACATAAAACTAGCGTGAAAAGGCAATAGGTCATCTAAAACGCTAACCTAAAAACCGAAAAAACCATAAAATTAAAGCCTACGGCCTTCTCAGCTGAATCACTAACCAAAACCGCAGTAACATAACCTTCAAAGAAGGTTTCAGCTGAATCACTAACCCAAACCGCAATGACATAAAAAAACATAAAACAAAGAAGGTTAAAACGACATAAAATAACAATAAAACGTGAAAACCAAACCACATAAACAAAGGAACTAATGAAATAACCCAAACCGCAATGACATAAACTTAAAACAAAGAAGGTTAAAGCGTAAAATAAAATTAAAGAACTAAAAAATTAAAGGGAAAAACGAAGGTAAAGTCGGGCATGTGAAACTGAAATATAATCCTTGGCTCAAGTGATTTTCTACACTTGGCTCAAGTTCTATGAATTGAGTCGGTAGGCCGGCCGAGGCATTGATAGTATTGTTTCCAGGTGAGGGGAACATGCTTTCAATGTCTACGAACTAGCCCGGATATTTGTCTTCAATTCCACCTGGTGTGATGGCGAACTGAAAATTTGCTATGTTTGCACTTGGTTTGATGTTGTCTGGAAGGATGAATAAAACGTTTTTCATTGCTGCGCTTAGCCGTGGTATTGTCTTCAATTCCACCTGGTGTGATGGCGAACTGAATTTTTGCTGTGTTTGCACTTGGTTTGATGTTGTCTGGAAGGATGAATAAAACGATTTCTTTGCTGCGTTTAGCCTTGGTATTGTCTTTATTTCCATGTGAAGAGAAAACGGAGACACGTTTTTTGTGATATTTAATTCTTATTGTTGGTTACTAAAGGTCACCTTCACACAATTACATTCCTAAAGTAGCTTCATAGTGAGTTCTTACTCTCCTCATTGTCTTCAAATGAGCCTTGATTGGCGTCACGTTTGCAGAGGCACTTGTTGTGGTGGGGCACACAGGCTCTGCTCTGATGTTTTGATTGTAATGCCTAATCCGAGAGTTTCTGAGTGAGACATGGAAGCCAACCAAGTGGCGGGAATTACGACTGAAAGCCAATCGTTGATCGGTTGTTTAATCGCATATGTGAATGGGATGAGTGAGTCGTGTCAGGTTTAAGCTACCAACCAGCCTTAATCCATGAATGATTGATTGACTCTCTGTGACCTCAATGCAGAGCTTAATACAAACACTTTTCAATCGCTCGGGCTATATATACCTAGCAGTCAGATACAAGCATCACGGCACTTGTGCTAACATTGTTTGACACAACACATTGTTGAAGACTTCATTCAAGCCATGGCCTACACACTTTTAAAGGTCCTGTTTCAAAGCCCGTCCACTTTGCCATCCTGGGACATAGCTTCGGCGCGGCGACTTGATCAAGTCTGTCCCCCCTCCACGTGGCATCATCACTTCCGTCGTGGGATAGGAGGGGCGACTGTCGCTCGGATGAAAGCAGTGGTGGATGCCCTTGATGCAGGTTTCAGGGCATTGTTTTCCTTCAAGTGGGAGAGAACGACGTGTTGGCGTCAACTGATCCTCAGAACCTGGTTGAGGACTTGCTGGATCTTCTGGACTACCTTCGGTGGAAACGGCCGGGCTCCAGAGCAGTGATAGGAAGTCTGTTCCCGAGGGTAAAACCAAGGAACATGACGGTCTCTGCCTACAAGCGGAAGGCGGAGGAGACGAATCGGCGCTTGAAGAGGATGTTGCGACGCCGTCTGGATGCCACCTTTTGGGACCACAGCCAGCACATGAGGATGGGACCTGCACTGTTAGGCAAGGATGGCGTCCACTTGACGTCAAAAGCCAATGCCCAGTTCTGGCTTTCCATTCGTAAAGTGTATGTGTAGGATCGCGTTTAAGCGCACATGCCCTGTCCGGTAGATCATCATTTTATCGTAATTCCCAAACTCTATAATTGTCGTTTCGGCCCATTGTGTTGATATACAGCAGTGGCAAAAGGGTTCCGCGTGTGAGACGATCAGTGCAAACGGGACGCACAGATCAGTCAAATCTGAGCGCACGGGGCTTAGCTTGGGATGGCTTTAAGGGTGGGAAAACGTGACGACATCCGCACGTGTCGCACATGACGTTAAAGCTAAGACCCGGGGCTTTCGATCCATAGTAACGACAAAGCCCTGTGGTCGATGTACGAAACATGACATGCATCTGCAGCGTGAAATACGGGTGTAAATCGGGTCAATTCGGGCTTAAAAGCGCCTCGGCTTCGAACCCGTTAAAGACAGGTCACTTCTGATGATACCACCAGTTGGACCTGGGAACCAGCTTCACGTCGATGTGCAACATGTCAATGGATTGTGTATAGTCGTCGTCCACGCGACGTTTAAACAACAACACCCACCGTGTCTGGCCCGTGATATAGGGCACGCCCCCGCCTTGCAGAGCAATCTCCATTCACTGTGTACTTGTACTTTAATGTACTTTCACCAAACCGAACGCAGATAGTATTTGTGTCATACCTAACATAACCACCAAGATTCATTCAAATCCATCCATAACGTTGAGATATTATTCATATTCTCCATTTATTATAACATTGCGATTATTTTCAAAGTACTTATGTGTACATGTACTTTCACATACACTCTTCAAAAATATAAAAAAAGAAACGCAAAATATAATTTGAAAATAATGATCGAACGTTTGTACGCATATGTCAAATTAAGCATGCTTTGAGGGTTGAATATTATTGTTGGTATGGTTTAGAAGAACATGCGTGAACGAAAGCAACCATAAACAAATGATTTTGAATGGTTTTATCGATCATGATTGTCATGATGAGCTTGACTGTTACTGAACACAACCAAAAGCCGCAATTATTGCTTTTCACGTGCAAAGCATGAGTACAACCTAAGACTATAAAAGACCCAAATGCATCTCGCAAATTCATCCAAGACCCTTGCAAATACAGGATGAGAGAAAATGGGACGTCTCAACGGTGCCCACCGAAATATTGCCATTTCGACAAATGACCATCCAAGACCAGGAACTCCGTGAGTCACCACTCCAGCCCATGACCGCTATATCCGGGTAACCCACCTACGTCACTTCCATCGCTCAGCCCGGGACACAGGACAAGAACGGTTTGGAGTCCGGAGAATGTCCGCCCAGACAATCAGGAACCGTCTCCGAAAGGTAGGTATGCGTGCCAGGCGTCCAAAAGTTGCCCCCTCTCTGACACGAGTACATCAACGTCCGTGAGTCAGGTGGAGTAACGTGGTGCAGCCATGGACCCTTGGAAACTGGAGGCACATATGGTTCAGTAATGAATCACGGTATCCCCTCAAGTGACGTGACGGAAGACAACGTGTCTACAGACCACGCAATGAACGTTTTGCATCCAAACTGCATCAGGCAAGTGGACAGATTTGGTGGAGATGGTGTGATGATGTGGGGAGCCATCTCATCCACCTGTATAATGGAATTGGTGCTCGTCCAAGGCAATCTTAAGGCCGCTCGATATGTCGACCAGATTCTCTGTCCTCACGTGCATCGCCTTGTCGACTGCCAAAGAGAGCTGTACCAACAGGACAACGCCAGACTTCACACAGCACCTGCTACAGTGGACTACCTGGACAGTAACAACATCAATGTCCAGATCCAGATCCACGGATCTGAAACCAATTGATTACCTGTGGGATCAGACATATAAACGTGTACGTCAACGTCGTAATCCTCCATTGAGGCTTTAACAGTAACATGTGTTCAACATGCTGCAGGAGGAATGGAGAAGGATTCCACATCGAAACATCCAACAACTGATTCTATCTGTGTCATGGAGGTGTCGTGCAGTTCTAGCAGTAAGAGGTGGTCATACAAGGTAGTAACGTCAACGTCACCTCGTGGACAGCAGTAACGACTATGATGACTATCATTCTTGTGAAATGTGCACGAGATACCAATGTATTGCTTTACATAATTTCCCTTCTGTACCGTTTATTTTGGTTGATTCACATAATTGAATAAGACCAAATTTGTCAATGATATTTTGCTTTCGCGTTTCTTTTTTTTGAAGAGTGTACTTTCTTCAACATCTAATTGATTTGTCCCGGGGACATACTCAAGAGATCCAGTAAGTTTCATTGAAATCCACCAAGTAGTATTTGAGTAAAGATACTAACACATAAATATACACACACACACACACACCAACAGGGTTGAATGCATACCCTCTGCAACAAACCTTCGGTTTGGGCAGAAGCAATCATGATCATATTGATTATTATGCATACATATATTATTGAGATTCATGATATATAATGGCAGTTGTAAAACACCCATCACAAAGTACATTTTGATATACTACATGCCTATGTTGTGATAGGTTTATAAAAATATGTTTTTCTCACATTGGTGTTACAGCTCGATTACGGGATCTGATGTTTAGTTACCACAGAATGACACTTATAATCATCAGACAAAATGGAACCATGTTTTTTTTCTGAATCCATATGCAATACTGATTACAATTATCCGTGGTTCCAAAAAATTAACATGTACTTCCCACGGGAAGCATTTTTGCTACATAAGCCCCTGCACTATGGAATAGATTCCGAAGTCTGCACCTGCCCTTGCGAGTACATCTCAAGTTGAGTCGACCAGCAACTCATTAAAGACTTGAGTAAATCAAGTACTTACTCAGGGAGGTCAATACAACGAAGAGACTTCAGAATCCATTCATGACGGACAGAGTCGTATGCTTTTTTTGTAGTCAATCCAGCACATGGACAGGTTGCGGTGATATGGTTTAGCCTCTTCCAAAATAATTTTTGGTACAAGATGTTGATCATTGCACCCCAAACATCCCTTTCTTGCTCTCTTCGGCTCTCTGTAAATTATATCATTGGAAGAGCAGTAAGATGACACGAGGCTTGTTAAACACCCCGTGAAGATTTTATATTGATTATTCAAACATGTGATAGGGCGGAAGTTTTTGGGATCAGTCAAGTCTCCCTTTTTGGGGAGGAGTATTGTGCGACCTTTGCAGAACCATGGAGGAACATCACCTGTGTCCACAAGAGAGTTGAAACAGTGAAGTAATGATGTTTGGACACAGGGGAACAGTTTCCAGTTCCGGTTTCAAATGCCATCAGGCCCTGGAGCTGTATTAGATCTGGACTTTTTGATAACATTTTTCAGGCAATCTGGTGAGATGTAACAGACAAACGCCCCAGTTATTGGAGGAAAATGATTGAACTGATTATTTTGTGATTAGCTCGGCTGTGTTCGGAACGTGGCGGAAACACCCGAAAGCCCCTGCACGTGTCAGTGAGTTGTTACTGTATACGTCATGGTACAATTGGTTTTCAACATCCCTGAATCCACAAAGTCAAGCGTCTTTAAAACAGGAAGATTTAAATCTTTAAATAAAAGCAATGACTGACTGACTGAGTTTGGTTTTACGCCGCTTTTAGCAATATTCCAGCAACATCACGACGGGGGACACCAGAAATGGGCTTCACACATTGTACCCATGTGGGGATTCGAACCCGGGTCTTCGGCGTGACGAGCCAACGCTTTAACCACTAGGCTACCCCACCGCCCCATAAAAGCAATGAACACACAATACATACAGAGCAAGAGGGGAAGACAACATTCAGCATGCACCTGTCATGGCTCACGTCACCAACCAGACCACCCACAACTAGAGGTGGGTATTGCAGAGAATTTTCATATTGCGATATATTGCGATGCGAAAGCATATATTGCGATATGTATTGCAATATATTGCAAGAAGGTTTTTTTAACAAAAAAATTAAGTTAATGTTTGATTTATAAAGCAAAAACACAACTAAATCACAATGCTTGATTAAGCTTTAATAAAAACTTTTAATCATGGCAAAATTAAAATGTAAATAATATTTGGCACAAACGAAACAAGGAAAAGGACATAACAGAGATCACTGGTCATTAATGAGTTAATATTTAAAACATTCAGATAAAAAACAACAATGCGAAACACTTGAACGAAAATTAAGAACACAACTTCAAACCGAACTGAATTTGACTTTCTATGTGAAAAACGGAAACATCGGAAGATTTCCGAGTGTTACGAAGTTTTCTGAATGCATGTCAAAATACCGTATCATTTTCATGTCTGAACCGGTTATATCGCGCAGCCCTACCGACAACGCATAACCAGGAACAGTGCAGATACTTAGAAATATAGTAAGTAGGGAGTTTACCTCATTTACCAGCATATCTTGGGCCAAAGTTTCATACAGGTTTTTAATGCAGTGCTAATTTTGTCTCCCAAGAGTGTATGCCACGGCAGGGAGATTGTATACCCAGTGCAGGGCAATCTCTGTGTCCACTGTCTGTGCCCGAGATGGGTCAACCATACCTAGGTAGTTCTCCAGAAGAGACTGCGGCACAATGTCCTGAAAAACAGTGGAATAATTACAAAAGCAGCAAGGGTGTGTCGGTGGTGACCACCATAAAGGCAGCTGCTACAGAACCTGATCTCCCGCGGGGGTCAGCTGGTCCTTTGCAACAACTTTTCAAAAACTGGGTGGAACCAATTAACTTTCATTTTTTACAGGAAAATGAAAATAGCAACAGTCTATATGGTCTCTTTACTAGTATGCCTGACCGCCTCCATGGTGTAGTGGTTAGAGTGTCCGCCCGGAGAGCGGAAGGTCGCAGGTTCGATCCCCGACCGCGTCATACCAAAAGACGTTAGAATATGGTACTTGTTGGTCCCTGTCTGGCGCTCGGCATTAATGGGTACATCAAGGACTGGTCGGCTTGGAGTCAGTATAATGTGTCTGAGTGGGGTATTCATGCTTCACTGCGGCATGGTATCTCAGTGAGCTAGCACTATAAAACCAGCTTCAGTCTCGGCTAGTACAAGCAGCCGCACATACACATACACACGCATGCACGTCGTCATATGAGCGAAATATTCTCAAGCACGACGTTAAACCCAATTTCACCTCACCTCACTAGTATGCCTAATTTTTCAATAGTTGGTTTGTAAAGTTCAGGTTTACAATCAATTTAAGATGGACACGCCCCACCCCACTAAAAACGTACTCTGTCTGACCTGACCAGTGCTAAGTGCTATTGCTAGTGCAAGTACACACAAATGTCTACCATCACACCACCAATCTTCCCCGTTTAGGCTGATAGTCTAGTCACATCACTAAAAATGGATAAACTTTAATTAGGCTTACTTATAACGATAATACCATCACAAAGCAATTATTAAAGGACTGACAGCTCGGCATCAATACAACAAGAAGACAAAGTCATCAATATCCCCCGCGACGGCAAAATACTCTTTATGAATATGTCTGCTAGTTATGATTATGTCAAATGTTTTGGAGTGTATACAGCAAAGTGGAAGGAGAGTATTGAAAGGGTTTTAAGATCTGCTTCAGAGAGGAGCACACCCACCAAAATCAGTTGAAGCCTAACTTGTTGCCATGGAAATGCAACAAGATGACATCCTCACAGTCACAGCCTAAGTCATGTTTCCATGGAAACCACAAAAAATAAAGTTCATATCTGGGTCTAACCCCCAATAGGCACATCTAGGGATCATGCTTGACATATGTACCAAGTTTGATGAAGCTAGCATGTATAGTTTGGGAGATCTGCTCCGGACAAGATGACATCCTCATAGTCACAGCCTAAGTCACGTTTCCATGGAAACCACACAAAAAAAGTTCATATCTGGGTCTAAACCCCAAAAGGCACATCTAGGGTTCATGCTTGACATATGTACCAAGTTTGATGAAGCTAGCATGTATAGTTTGGGAGATCTGCTCCGGACAAGATGACATCCTCATAGTCACGTTTCCGTGAAAACAGCAAAAACATTAAATTCATATCTGGGTCTAACCCCCAAAAGGCACATCTAGGGATCATGGGCCTAGATTTTCGAAGCTCTCTTAGCGCTAAGATAGTCGTAACTTAATGTTAATGTATGGCACTTACGACTATCTTAGCGCTAAGAGAGCTTCGAAAATCTAGGCCCAGGTTGACATGTGTACCAAGTGTGGTTAAGCTATCACGAATAATTTAGGAGATCTGCTCTGGACAAGATGACATCCTCATAGCCACAGCCTAAGTCACGTTTCCATGGAAACTGCAAAAATTGAAATTCATATCTGGGTCTAAACCCCAAAAGGCACATCTGGGGATCATGCTTGATATGTGTACCAAGTTTGATGAAGCTAGCAAATAGTCAAATAGTATGTCCAATAGATACCGGTCCCGGATTATGTCCGATGTTCGTTATCAATGTGACCCTTGACAGGTTTAAGATTGAGGAACGTGGTCAGTTAGTCTGTAATATTTCCAGTTTTCAATAACATATATCGTTATAAAATATTGGTAAAACTTTGTTCACTTTTTCCGTGTGAATACTTATAACAGGCGTACTCTTATATAAAGGCCGGATTTACTGATTTTTCATACACCATTAGTAGAAATATGTACTCTTTTGCCCAGGTTGTCCCGTTTTCATACTATTTTCGATAGAGCAACCCTTTCACTGTCATACTACATAGTGAGTGATTATTATCGCGTTGTCAGGACAGAAGACCTCACTTGCATATTATGCGC